CAATTGATCAGACGTTAAACGAAGAGTTTTAGCATAGAATTTAGTTGATTTGTTTGTATCTTGAGAAGAAACATTTTCCTGTAATCAGTTTTATAATTAGTTTTATAATCAGATTAATAATTATAAATTAATCTCAGAATGTGAAGAGTAAATTAAAAAAAAAAAAAACCAACTTCTATATTATTATTATTATTTGTTTTATCATCATTAGTTTTTACTTCATTATCTGTAAGTTGCGAGCTAGCTGAACGATTCCACCATCGACTCCAACTACGTAAACTATATTTCCTTCGATCCGGTGATCTCAAGGTGATTATTAGATAACGAAGTTGTCACTTTTTCAGGAAGCGGTTTTTTGAACACAAGTAAAGAAGTAATCAAGGGTAATATCGCAGGTCCTGTGAAATATCTAATAATCATAAATATTACGTTAATGAATAGTTGTGAAAACTGAAAATCATTAAAAATTGATTTAAATTCATTATGAAACCTGTTATCATATTTGAAAACTAAAGATTTATCATTCAATAATTGCGGGTTTTCGGAAAACTGTTCGTACGAAACAAGTTTTTTTCGGAACAACTCAGCATCCATTTTCTATTGTTAATTGATTATAAATTATTATTATTTTATGAAAAAAAATTAATGAAAGAAAGTATAATTAATTATATAATTAATTAAATCTTACTTCATCTCTCCCAAAACCACTGTTTCCACAAAGCGAAATTTCAAAATGATAAGTTTCCCCCCCCAATTTCAACACCAGACAAATCTTCTTGATCTTTAAGATCTTTCCATTCTTTATCGCCAGTACCTTCTTGCCAATGTTCTATTTTTTCAGATGTTCTTACTGGTAATGCTCCCCATCTCCATGACCATTCATTATTACTCTTTTCTGGTTTAGTAGGTTCATACTATAAAATTTTAAAGACAAAAATTATTACAATTTATTCATTTATTAATAATTAACTTATTAATAATTCTTCTTATACCTCTAATTCAGTATCACTTAAAGGACTAATTTTGTGCATCCTTCGCTCTATCCTAATAAATTAAGATATTAATTAAAGATATTCTTTAAATACTTTAAATTTATAAATATATATATATATATATATATATTATATTCATCTTACGGCTTTTCTGGCTTGCGCGTTTCATCCAATTCAGTATCAGAAAATGGACCTTCTGATTTTGCCCCTATTAATTCAAGAGTACAAATATATCTGATGCTTAATAAAATCTTAATAAATTTTTTAATAAACCAACAATAATTCAAAAGCATATGATAGCAACAGGACGGTTTTTGTTGAGAGAAATATTTTAGGAAATTAATTCCTAAAAAAAATCAACGAACGTCCGTGACAAACCATGAAGCTTATAAATTATAGAATAAAATATTGCAAAGAATAAAGACGCACGAACAATTTTGATGGACCGTTGAAATAGACAAAGCTCTTCCACAATTCAATCTTGAATTTTCAGAATCTTCATCATTTGGTTGAGGTATTATTTCATCAAGTTGAACTTCTACAGGTTAACATCGATTATTCGATGAAATGATTGCATTATGATTATTCATTTTATTGATTCTTTTTATCATAAAAAATAAAATATATTAATATGTAAAATAAATATATATATATAAAAAAAAAAACTCACTTAAGTGGGAATTTGTACTTGTAAACAATTTATTTTTGTTTATTGCATCTTTAATATTTAAATTTTCATATTTTTCACTATCATCACCTATTAAAAAGATGAAAGGTGAACAATTTAATTATAATTTTATTATAAAAAAAATTTTTTTTAAGCAAAGATAGATTACTTACTTAACTTCATATCAGCTTGATCACTAGAGGTAAATATTGTTTCAGATCCATCATCAGATTCTAAATTTAAATCTTGATTTATAATAGGAACATCTAAATTTTTATTATCTTGATCTTTTGTAAAATCTTTCATTATTCCATTAAAATCATCTTTAAGTGAAGTATTTTGTATTTCCATTTCTTCATCAGATGTTAAGCTGTGGGAAATATTAAGAGCTTTAAATTCTTGTGTTATTACACCAAATTCGGCCCTTTTCTCACGTTCAGGAATGCGAGCTCTTGGTTCAGTATCTCCT